TTTTCCTAGGCTAAAATGAATCTGTCAGCAGGTCTTGTGCTGCAGTGGTTAGTGCATTACTTCTGAACCAGAACCTCCACGTTTGATCCCATCCAAGAGTTGATGGCCAAGGAATGTGTTCATGAGGTAGCCAAACAGGTTTCCAACATCCTTTCAACATTTGCCAATGGCCGATGGTAACAGCAAGATAGATTCCTGATGATGATTTCCATGTCGGTGGACAGAACATTGGAGCCTCCACCATCACGATTCATAGCTCCAGATCACAACATCTGTGTAAAAGTGTACGTTGTCAACAACTCTGACTCCCTGAGTGAACTGTAACATTCTGTCACCATATAAAACTGTTAGCTTGGAACATCCTGTGAAATAGCCTTGGACAGTCTGCATATTCTCAGTTACATCTAAATGTTTATTTTCTGTACATTTGAGCTAATAGTTTGTGTTCTGGCATAAGATTATGTTGTGGACTGTTTTGAATCTTTGATGTGTTGAGCCAATAAAACTCAAACCAAGAAGATCATGAGGAAAGCTACGCACAAAACCAAGACCACAGTAAAGTGAGAATGAGATTGGGAGATGAGTCATACAGACATTTGGAATTTTGAGTTCACCGAGCCATAATGCGATTACTTTCAGTGCAAAATATCCTTCAAGTCATCAGTGTTGGTTGTATGCAACGATTTAACACATTTTAATGTGCCTAGATTTTTGCAGTTGATGAATTTTAATGAAGTTTGTTTATCAATAGTTGGTTAATGGTTTTCTCTTGTAATATATTTTATAACTTGGCTGGCAACTGCACTTTGAAGCCATGCATGGAGTGATTATAATAGAAGGCCTCTTGACACCTCTCCTTCCGTGTGCCGAGATTTTTAAAGATGGCAAAATATATTGACGGAGGAATTAGCAAAGCATTGAGGCTTTGGCTTCATAAAAGAAGTTGTGCTGAATCTTTGTGAGGCTCTAGTTGGATCACAGCTGAATACAGTTCTGATCTCCACACTTTAGAAGGTATATAAAGGTCTTAGAGAGGATAAAGAAGAGATCTGCAGAATGTTTCCAGGGTTGAAGGATTTTAGTTACAATGTTAGATTGAAGAATTTCAGTTTGACAAAGTAGTTTGAGAGACATTTGATAGAGATATACAAGATCATGACAGGTTGGATAAAGTCAAAGAAGAGCTGTTTCCATTATCTGATGGCACATGGATCAGGGGTTACAGATTTATAGCTTTGGGCAAGAGATGCAGGAGTGATAAGAAGTCTTTTATGCACTGAATGGTAATAACCTAAAATCACTGCTTTGGAATGTGGTGAAGCAGGGACAATGAATTAGTTGAGAAGACAGGTTAAATGGGCATTTAACAGAAACAAACTTACAGGATAGTGAAAATAGAGTTGGGTGTGGCACTGACTGGATTGCTGTATAGAGAGCTAGAATGGACTTGGTGGGCTGAATGGTCTCGTCCATCTGCAATGACTCGACAAAATTCACATTTACAGGAATATAGAAACTTAGAAAAACTAAAGACCATCTAATTGTTTTTAAGTACCTGGTGGTTGAGTGTTTCAATGATAATGAATTTGTCAATTAAACATGACAACTTAATCAGTATCAATAAGTGTACAAAAGACACAGACATGAGGTGAGGGTCCAAACATACTGCACTTACTACAGACCATCTCACAAATTACTCTCATGCCGCAACCCAAAATTATATTTTCTGAAAGATACATGATCTATTTTGTAATTAAAATACTCAATAATAACTGCTTCAAATGGCCACCAAGAAAGTCTATTCCATAAAGTGACCTGATGATCACTGGAGTATTTTCTCTGCAGTTTTGAATTCAATCTTGTTCAAGCACAGGCCCTTTCCTCAGTCTCTACTCTTTTAACCAAGTTGAAACAGCTCTAATAATATGCGGTCACTTTATCTATTTTATGAAAACAAAGTTCTATCTCCTCGTAACCTTTTTTCCAGTGAGAACATGTCCTAAAAACATCTCTCCCAACATAGTTCTCAGCACAATGGCTATCCATCTGCTGCCGTCTGATCTGAGCAAGCAATCTCTCCTCAAACCAATCCAATTAAGGAGATTCTGGAAGACATGGAGACAATTTGAAACAAAATCTGTGAAGAAATCACTGCAGCTGTACAATTTCTGTCTCTGGAACCTGTTGCTTCCTGCAGAAGCTGCTGGTGTTTTAAATTCTCTGTTCTCTGCTCCCTGCATCCCCTCGGTAACGTACATTGGTGTTGCACACCTGACACTCCATAAATTCCAACAGGTTTAATAGTCAGAATTCACCAGGGAGCAGAAACAGTCCCTCAGTCTTATGCAGTTGTTACTTACATCAGTTTAAGGACAGGATCTGCTTTGACGGAGGCATTTCAGGGGTTGAAGGGAGCTCATCTTATGTTTGCACTGGTTGCTAGGGTATATTGACAACATGTATGTATTATATTCTCCCTTCTCACAGCCTTCTCATACAACCTGCTTGCCACAGTCCAGTTATGTGTAGGAAAGATAAAAGCTATTGTACTCACCACATAGAATCCCCAACCACTGACTCCATACTTCTCCCTGGCCACTGTCTGATTGTTTGCAGCTTTGCATCCTATTTGATCCTGAGCTGAGCTTTGAACCAAATACACCCCTTTGCCAAGGGTGTTTGATGGTACTATCTGGATAGATCTCTACTTAACTTGCCCTGTACTTCCACCTCCGTAACACATTCGTCTCCACTCCAGTTCATATGCTGCTGAAACGATCTTTCATTGTTTATGTTGCCTCCAGATTCAATTGTTTCAATGTTGCCTTGACTAATTGCTCATCCAGAAATCTGTTGCCTCCATCCTAATTTCAAAGTGTATCCTAATAACAAAGTGTAGTTCAGCTAACTGCTTTGTGGATTGAGCTGGTTTCTTAGTAAAGCCTCATTCATTCCTTTGCAGCCTTAAAGTATTTTCTAGGTTCTTTACTTAACACAGCATTCAGGATTATTTAGCTGAAGAGCCTTTTAAAAAATATCAAAAATAAGAACGATTGGAAGCTACAAGATGAAAAGGCATTTCTAAAGCAAACACTTGAAAAATTGCCAAGTCTTTATGATAGAATGGACTGTTTGCATATATAATACATAAATTCCATGTACTTATTCATTTTCCAATAAAACTAAATAGATTGAAATTTGAAACTTTGTTTTTGAGCCTTTTAAATGATCATATTGTCAGTAAACTTATCTTTGAAACAAACTTTAGATGTATGGAATTAAAGAAATTTTTCAGCTATGGATTCTTGTGGTCTCTAATAGCATATTCTGTTCTAGTATATCCTAGCTATGTTAGAAGCAATGATGATAACAACCATAGAATCTATTCCTCCAACCAAAGGCATTATCCATAGCCATGACGCAGTTTTATCACTCATTCAGGTTTATATTTTTTGATATTTTTGCAAAATAATGAATTGAAAGTGCAAAGTGTAGCATAATGATTAGCCTTTTAGCCATACGATAAAAACATTGTTCTTTTCTTCATATTAATGCATTTCATTTGAATTAAGTAGAAAACAAATCAGATGTTATAAAGTTCCATGCAGCTTCAGAGCTGAAGGCTACATGCCTGTGACCTAACTGGTGCAGTGAGCCTATTACTAATTAAAGTAGCTATTACTGTGGTCAATGGTTTGTTATTGATGCTATCTCTCTTCCTATGCAAACCAGCAGGCTAAGGTGTAGATTGATTTTATGCTTCTTCCTGTGGGTTAGGGTGTGGTTATTTTAGTTGGAACCACCTTTGATTTGTAGTTCCTGGAAATTTATCAGCTGCTGGAGTACCTGTTTCCTCACTATTATAGTGGTCTTTTGCTGCGGTGTGTAACTGTTCTGAGGGTACTGTATATGTTGGTTGCCAGGAATGATAAAAATTACTAGGTTATGATTGTTGCTAGGGTGATTGCTGGTTTTGGGGAATGATGGTTGCTATAGTGGGTACTAGTTGGACAATGGTTGTTCGAGGTAGACTGCTAATTGACAGGGCGATTACTTGTTTTGAGGGGGATTGATGATTGCTTTGATGAGTGCTGGTTGCTAGGTGTATGATGTTTGCTAAGCTGAATGCTGGTTGTTAAGATGGATTGTGGTTGTTAGGATGATTGATGATTGCTAGGATGAATGCTGTTTCCTGAAGGAATGCTTAAAGGTTGCTAGGGGGAAGTGCTGGTTCCTGAAGGGATGATTGAAGGTTGCAATCGTGAATGCTGGTTAATAGCAGAATTCTGGTTGCTTGGAAAAATTATGGTTTCTTGGGGACATGATGGTTGCATGAGATCTGTTTGTCAAGGTGTGTTAGTTTCTGGGATAATTATGATCCACAGGGTGAGAGTGTTGTTGCTAGGGTGTGTGGGCTTGTTCCTGGTGTATGGTGGTTGCTAGGATGATTGCAGGTTGTTATAGTGCTTGCTGGTTGCTAAGGGAATGATAGTTGCTAGGGTGAGTGCTCTTTGCTGGGGATAATAATGGCTGCTATATTGAGTGCAGGTTGCCAGGATGAGGGCTCGTTGCTAGGGGAATGATATTGGTAGAGTCAGTGCTGGTTGCTAGGGGAGATGATCACAGCTAAATGGAGTGCTGGATCTTTTGGATCAGTGCTGGTTGATGGGGTGAATGATGGTTGCTAGGGTGCGCTGGTTGCCGGGCGGGTTATGCTCGCTCGGGTGAGTGGTGGTTACTACGGAGAATGATGGTTGCTAGGCTGATTGCTAAGGAGGATCCTGGTTGCTAGGGGAATGATGGTTGCTGGGGTGTTGATGGTTGCTAAGGGAGATCTTGGTTGTTCGGGTTGCCATGCAGGGCTCTATGTGCGTGTGTGTGTGTGTGAGAGAGAGAAAGAATGGTAGGGGGAGGGCGTTTGGTGTGTGGTTTGGTGGTGGGGGCAGGCTTTCCGGAAGTGACTCCATCATCCCCACTGCACCCCCTCCCCGCCCCACCACCCCCTGTTTCCGGTTCCGGTCCCGCATCCCCAGTGTCGGAAGATGTGGGGAAGATGGCGGAGCTGCAGATGTTGCTGGAGGAGGAGATCCCCGCGGGCCGCCGAGCGCTGTTGGACAGTTACCACAACCTGGACCGGGTGGCCGAGTATTGCGAGAGCAACTACATCCAGGTGAGAGACCGGACTGGGGAGGTGAGGGATAACGGGTCCATCTCTGATCGGCGGTCCGGAGGGGAGGTGGTTTGGGGGGGTCCCGGGCTGGTGGCTCGGCTCACCCTCACCCACCCCTCTCCCTGGCTAGGCCGAGCCGGAGCCCCCCTCTCGCCCCTACTCCCAGGTGAATGTCGTGGAGACCGGCTCTCGTATTGCCTTCACCTCTCCGCCCGCTTCTCCCTTCGGTGTCGTGGGGGGAAAGAGAATGGATCGGAGTTGTCCGTTTCCCCATTCTCTCTCTCCCCCGGCTGGGAACAGAGGGGCTTTCAGCCTCCCTGACTTTCGACCTGTTGTACCTTCCGTAACCAAAGGGTCTCCCGAAGCTACATTTGTCTTCAGCTTTCAATCACGGCCCCTTAACTCCGTCTTTTCTTCAGAATTCAGTATCTGGTACACATTCTCTGGCACTTATTTTGTCTGGTATTTTTTTTTTCCCCGACTGCGGTGAGATTCTGAATCGTGTGTTCTTAACTCCATGATTCTGAGCTTGATGGAAAATCTGGCAGGCATTCTTGGCTGTTTTATTTTTAAGAATGCTGCTCTTGTGATTACGAGGGTAATTGTCCTAGTTGGCTGGGATCTGCTCTGGTCTGGCTAATAAAATCCTAATTTCCATTTTTCCATTTGTTGGAATAATTCGAGGTCGGATCTTTTGCTTTTTTTCTCCTCTCCTCACTGTTCGTCTCTTCTCTTTCCTCCCCCCCCCCCCCCCCCGCAAAAAAAATTCCCACGCGTACATATTCCCGAGTAAAGAATTTTGTAAAGACTAATGAACGATGGATTTGCTCTGAAATATCCATTGCCTCTGTGTGGGAGGCTTTATGCCAACTACTTTCAAATACAGTGACATGACTGGATGTCATTATCGTGCGGGTGAAGCCAGTGGGCATCTATGGGTGACAGCAAATGCCATAGCTTGTTCTGCAGAGTGCCATTCAAACAAGAACAGGAGAATGGAATCAAATACTAAGCAGCCAGTGCCAAGTTTGCATTGCACGAAGCAACCATGAAGGAGCTGTATGGTTTTGAGTTTGGGAGAAGGACTGTGTGGGGGAATGACTTAATTACAGCTGAGGGTAAGGGCACTTCGAGGAAATGTTGATTATGGCCTTGAACTGAGAGAGAAGAAACAATATTGAAAATGGGATTAGAATATTTTAATAGATAATGATCAGCAAGTCACAGTGATTGTCTCCCTGTTGAATGTTTTCAGAAGTTTAAATGAATACCAACTTTAGGAAAAAAATTGCATTTATCTTTTATAGTCTGAGTGGATAATATGGCTGGTTCAGAAATTGAATCTGCCTTTAAATGATGCCTGTTAAGTTAATTTTGGTTAGTTTGCTTGTGCATATTGTATGAAACAGTTTTATACAGTTTTTTATCTCTCCTCTGAAGGTGTGTCTCCTTACTAGGTCACAGGCGGGGAAATGGGATTGAAGTGCAGATTAGCCATGATCTAGTTTGGGGCAAGATGAGCACCTCCTGTTTTGATACTAGACGAAACATGTCAACAGCAACAGTATTCTTTATTTAACACCTTTTTAGTTTCATAAAATGCCGTAGGTGTTTCACAAGTGTTGTGAAACAAAGTTGGATACTGTACCACTTGAGATGAAAAGCAAATGACTAACTGGTCAAAGCATTAGGTTTAAGGAGTGACTTAAAGGAGGAGAGCAACATAGAGATGTGGAGAACTTAGGGAAATTTCAGAACTTAGAGTCCAAACGTTTGAAGGCACAGTTGCCAGTTGTAAAATTATTCAAAATTTTCTGATGAGACAAAACTAGGTAGGTTTGAGAGTTGTGAAGCAGATGCAAGGATGCTTCAAGGTAATGTTGACAAGTTGGGTGAGTGGGCAAACACATGGCAGATGCAGTGCAGTGCGGCTAAATGTGAAGTTATACACTTCAGTGTGAGAAAAGGCAGAGTATTATATGTCATAGAATCCCTACAGTACAGATAGAGGCCATTTGGTCCATCAAGTCTGCACAGAACATCTGAAGAGCATCCCATCCAGACCTGCCATCTGCCCCACTCTGTCACCATAACTCTGCATTTACCATGACTAATCCACATAGCCTATATAACCCTGGACACAACGAGACAATTTAGCATGGCCTGTCCATCTATCCTGCACATCTTTGGACTGTGGAAGGAAACCGGAGCACTTGGTGAAAGCACACACAAATACAGGGGGAACATGCAAACTCCACACAGTCATCCACGGCTGGAATCAACCCGGGTTCCTGGCACTGAAGCAGCATGCTAACCACTGTGCCACCATGCTGCCCCTAAAGGTGATGTACTAGGAAATGTGGATGCGTGAAAGGATCCGAGTGTCCTTGTACACCAGTCAGTTAAATTAGGTAGGCACATACAGCAAGCAATTAGGAAGCCAAATGATATATTGGGCTTCATTGCAAGAGAATTTGAGTTCAGATTAGAGATATTTTACTGCAGTTATACAGGGTCTTGTTGAGATCATATCTGGATATTGCATGCAATTTTTGTCTCCCTTTCTAAGGATATGCTTACCATAAAGGGAATGCAGTGGAGGCACACTCGGCTAATAGCGGGAATGATAGGACTATCCTATAAGGAGAGATTAGTTTGACTGCTCCTATATTCACTGGAATTTAGAAGGATGAGGGGAATTCTGATTGAAACGTATAAAATCCTGATAAGAATGGACAGACTTGGTGCAGGGAGAATGTCTTCCTTGGTTAGGGATTTTATAACCAGAAACACCATTTAGGACTGAGATGGAAAAAAAAAAATTCTTCATTCAAGGGCAGTGAACCTGCGGAATTCTCTATCACAGAAGGCTGTGGAGGCCACTGAATAATTGAATAAAATGACATATTGAAAATATATATTGAAAGCATCAAGGGTTATGGGGAGAAACTGGGAATATGGCATTGAGATAGAGGATCTGTCACAATTGTATTGAATGGTGGAGCAGCATCAAAGGGCTGAATGGTCTACTCCACCTTCTGGTTTCTGTGTTTCTATTTGGGATGTTTGAGGTCAGAATTTGATGAGCAGAGATATCTCAGCTTTGTGGAGCTAGAGGAGTTTACAGAAATGGGGAGGGGTGAGACTGTGGACAGTTTGAAAACAGTGAAGGGTATGGTGTTATAGAAATGAAGTATGTGGTCTTAGTGATGCGAATGCATGGTGAGAAACTTGGGGTCATCAATGTTTTGAGCTTTCCGATTTAGTTTTAGACACTAGTGTTGTAGAACAGAGACCTAGGGGTTCAGGCACGTAATCTAGTTTGTGTTGCATGTAGACAGGGTGGTTAAGAAGGCATTAGCACACTTGCCTTCATTGCTCAGACTTTTGAGTACAGTAGTTGTGTGGGCATGTTGAAGTTGTACAGGATGTTGGTGAGGTCTCTTCTGGAGTATTGTGTCCAATTCTGGTCACCCTATTATAGGAACGGCATTGTTAAATTGGAGAGGGTTCAGAAGAGATTTACCAGGATATTGCTGGGAATGGAAGGTTTGAGTTACGGGGAGAGGCTGGATAAGGTGAATGGCAGGTGTCTTTTCCCTAGGGTGGGGATTTCAAGACTAGGGGGCACATTTTTAAAGTGAGCAGAGAAAGATTTATAAAGGACACGGGGGCAATTTGTTTTTTGATACAGTGGTTCGCATGTGGAGTGAACTTCCAGAGGAAGTAGTGGATGTGGCTACATATATGTTTAAAAGACATTTGGATAAGTACATGGTTAAGAAAGGTTTGGAGGGATATGGGCCAAGTGCAGGTAGGTGGGACTAGTTTAGTTTGGGATTATGGTTGGCGTGGACTGAAGGGTCTCTTTCTGTGCTGTATGACTCTGACTAGAAAAAGGAATGGAGTTTGTTAAGACTGGCTTTGATCTTCCCACTGTTTTGTTTGAGAAAATTTCTGCTCATCCAGTATTGAGTGCTGGATGAGCTGTCTGATAATTTAGGAACAGTGAAGATGTCCTGACAGAGATGTGGTGGTGAGGTAGAGCTGCTTGTTGTCAGTGTACTTGTGAAAACTGATGCTGTGTATTCAAATGATTTTACAGAGGGGAACGCATGTAGGATGAGGTAGGGAACCAAGGATAGATCCTTGGGCATACTTCCTTGTGGAAGCAGAAAGAGGAGCCATTGCAAATGATCCTGTGGTTGTGATCAGATTTATATGAATGGAACTGGTGAAAGTAGATCCATCTGGCTGGACGACGAAGGTTTTGTGGGTGGATAGTGTGTCAAATCATGCAAAAGGCCGCAGACAAGTTGAAAAGGAATAGAAGGAATGGTTTAACTTTGTTACAGTTGCAGAGGATATAATTCAGAGCCAAACTTGAACCTTTCCAAATGTACACATGGCTTGCTGGATAGTGATGAATTGAAATTATGAGATTTCACTTTATTCTTCACTTTCGTAATCCAAGAGTAGTGCACCACTGCTCCTAACTCTTCTACTCCTGCTGCAAGCCAACTAAGAGATGCAGAATCGGACCTGGTATGCTTTAGTTATATTTTTTATTCACTGAATACCTGGAGAATTAATATTTTGGTCCATCTTTAGTCCTTCAAAAATGGATTTACTGTTTGAATTTATGGTTTTTATTCTGCTTCACTTAATGTAACAATCTGACTGCAGTTATTATTGGGGATGGAGTGCACATTCCCAGTTGCAAGAAGATCCTGAAAGTCATTATCTGAACCTGTAACTCAATAAAACTTCAAAGTGACAGAATACATCTTTTTCTGTGTCACTGTGATTATTTATTTTACAGTAGTGACTTTGGGAAACCGTGGGATGGTAATGCTTGATGTTTGAAACTTGGAATTAAATTAATTTGAATTTAAGAGAAATATGTATAAAGGATGTGCATGTATACTATGTAACCACTGACTCAGTTTAATGTCCACTCTATCAGTTTGACCAGATAGGACCAAATACATCACTCACTA